ATGGGGAGGTAAAGTTTAGCGTAGTGTCTGGCTTTGCTTACATTCTTACAGACAGCTATATCCTAAAATAGATTCCCCTCTTGTCTCCTCCCAACATATCTCAATGTGTATCTCCATACTGGATGTGCAAAAACGGCATTAATGTCTCTCGAGCTATCTAGATGTACCATTTTGTTAAAGTAAAGTTAGATTGTTATAGCTGGTTTTATGATTTTCGATGCTCATCATGTCGTAACAAACTGATGATGCGTTTTTTGTTCTCAGAATTACATAAAAAGTCAGTTAACCATAGTGCGTGAATGGAAATGCACTGGTGAGCTTTTAATAACCATGCAAAAAAAAAGAAAAATTAATATAATAATTATTAAACATCCTTAATTATTACATAATGAATCGTAATTGTTGTGGAAATGCAGAACTGTTCTAGTAATCGTTTTCGGCAATTCAGAATATTACGGCACGATCCTTGAATCTACCCAGAGGTGTGTAATGAAATATTTAGCACTCTGCTCTCGTAACCTTTCATGTGTCCTCATTTGTGCATTCAAGGTGGAAACCATTGGCGATGCGTACTGTGTAGCTGGAGGCTTGCACAAAGAGAGTCCGACTCATGCTGAACAGATTGCTTTCATGGCTCTGAAGATGATGGACTTGTCTGATGAAGTCACGACTCCCATGGGAGAGGTTATCAAGGTTAGCGTTTCTTAATTCTGTTACAGCATGAATATGAACAAATCACTTAATTTTGAACACTTATTTAATTTTCTCACATTTCTCATGCAAACCTTTGCTAGAGACAAAATAATGCAACTGCTTCAACAAGATTGGTGGTTAGTAAAATAAGAAAGTCTGCATTTAAAAGCAAAGCGTGACTCATTTACACAGAATGCTTGTATATTTTTGTGCAAACACACACTACACTACACGTTACTACACTACACTCTACACTAAGTCTACACTAATCGATTTTTTTCTTAACAATGCAATTGTTCGAATTATAATTATAATATGAATACCGCTGCTTTAGATGCAAAACTATGATAATTTTATATAACAAACATTCATCTTGGAGAAAGGTCGTATTTATGTTTGTTTGAAGATTGAGTTTGATCTTCTGTATTATCATTGTTTTAATACATTTGCATTTAGTCATTTAGCAGACGCTTTTATTCAAATGAGGACAATGGAAGCAATCAAAATCAACAAAATGCAATGATATGCAAGTGTTCTCATCTCAGTTAGCTTAACGCAGTACACATAGCAAGGTTTTTTAAAATCATATAATAAAAAGAAAACGGATAGAATAGGAAAAATAAATAGTGTTCTAAATAGTGTTAGAAGCCTTTTTTTTTGCTTTTGTTAGTTGTATAATAAATAAAAAGAAAACAAATAGAATACAAAAAGATTAGAGAAGCTAGTGTTCTTTTTTTTTTTAAAGAATACAAGCAGTAAATAAATAGAGTGCAAGTCTAAAAGGGACAAGATTGTTTTTGTGTGTAAAGAATAGAATTAGAATAGAGAGTGCTAGAGTTAGAGGGTCAAATAAAGATGCAAGATATATTTAATAACAAATATATTGGAAAGCAGAGGCATCAAGGGGCTACAATGGGCGCAGAATTGTTAATATTACATATGGTTTGAAATAAAGAATTTAAAAATCTCTTTTTTTTAAGGGAGTCTTTGCTTTGTTTTATTCTCAGATGCGTATCGGGATCCACTCTGGCTCGGTTTTGGGCGGCGTGGTCGGTGTTAAAATGCCCCGCTACTGTCTCTTTGGCAATAACGTCACATTGGCCAACAAGTTTGAGTCTTGTAGCCTGCCGAGAAAGATTAACGTCAGTCCCACCACGTACAGGTATAAACACAGACATGGCTGCCAAGTACTTCTTGGCAAGTGTGATTGACTAAAGGTTTTTTATTATTTGAATCAACATAGTTCTAATTCTCTTACACAGTTTTGAATTTTAAGTGAGAGTAAATTCAGTTTTACACACTGACAGCGAGGCATCAGCAGATTGTATGAAAAAGACTGTACGAAACTTGCCAAAATGTAAAATAGTTACAAACTGCTATGCGAGTGTTGATTATATGCAATATATACAGCTCTGGAAAAAAATTGAGGCCACTTGAAAATTCTCACTTTCTCTGTTTGAGTGTTTTTCATTCATTATGATTTAAAATCATGGTTATTCCACCAAATATTGATTTCTTAACTCTGCTGATGTTAGAAAATTGGTATGGTGTCGCCTAAAAATTAATATAAACATGTCTGAAAACATGGTATCTTGGCATCCAGTTGGCATTTCATGCTTTTACATTTATATTTAAAATTAGGAAGAAATGTCATCAGAATAAAACAAAAAATGAAGCTTTACTCAAACGCTTAACTGTAAATCCAGAGAAACTGAGAAGTGGTCTCTTAATGTATATTTTTTCCTGACATTGGTCACATTTATAACAAACTAGTCCAAAACTCTGAATTAATTCCCTTTTTTTTTTTTGTCGTGTATTGTACAATAAGGTGTGAGTAAAAGCAACAGCATTTATTTGACGTAAACAAAGAACAGGAGCATTCCACCGAATGTATCTGTGTTTCAAGAATAACACATGAAGATCTGCCTTATTAAATCATATCTGGCTGAGCCAAGTATATTTGTCATACTCCACAGACAGCTTTACTGTGTACCTGCATGTGGCTTTCAGGACGATGAGTTACTTCTCTCTCATTTCAGATTGTTAAAAGATCGTCCAGAGTTCATTCTCATCCCCCGGACGAGAGAGGATCTTCCGCTCAACTTTCCCACCAACATCCCTGGAGTTTGTTACTTTCTGCAGGCTCACGATCAGAGGACGAGTGCTGCTTCCAGATGCTGTGCTACATGAACCGTGAAAGCGTAAAACCTGGAAACAGTGGGCTAACACTGCGTATCGTTTTAGTTGAGCCAGAGTTTATCATGTTGCCAAAAAGCTGTCAAATAACACTATCGTAGAAGGGTTTCAGTGTGCACAGTTTTTGTCCACAGTAGTCCTGAGATTTAGTTTTGGCAGAACCTCTTTTGTTTTAATATTTTGTTTATTTTGACGTCCTGACTGTATACCAAAAATCTAAAATGCAAAGAATGTCAAACACGTGACTATTATTTTAATAGAGTAAACCATTTATTGTCTATAAGGATATAAGGCTCTGAGTAGAGCACATGTCATTGTAGTGCACTACACAGCAAAGATTCACCTCGGCAGAGCCCGACCAAGTAAACATTGTGACTTTTTTTTGTATTGTAATAGATCTGTAATAAACATGCTTTACTCAAGGTTTGGTTTAATCTCAATGTTTCAATGCGACCTGCTCTTTTCATCAAGAGAGTGAAAGAGAGACCACAAAGAGAGCGCTTAACACTGGTCTTAATGTTGTATTAACATAATGTTGTTAAACAAAACAGGGGTTATGTGTGGTTTCATATAGAGGTATATCAGAAGTACAATACTAAAATGCTATGCTAAAAAAAGCTAAACCTGTCTGCGCTTAAAATACCACAACCATCGTGAATTATGTTGCTCCACTATATTCATCACTGCATATTATCAAAGATAAAATTCGTATATATATATATATATATATATATATATATATATATATGTGTGTGTGTATATATATATATATATATATATATATATAAACTGTATATATACAGTATCAGTCAAAAATTTTTGAACAGTAAAAGATAAATGCTGTTCTTCTGAACTTTCTATTCATAATAATAAATGCTTTTGAGCAGCAAATCAGCATATTAGAATGATTTCTGAAGATCATGTGACACTGAAGACTGGAGTAATGATGCTGAAAATACAGCTGCACATCACAGAAATAAATTACAGTTTAACAGATATTCACATAGAAAGCACTTATTTAAATTTTTTTTAATATTTCACAATATTACTGCTTTTGCTGTATTTCTGATCAAATAAATGCAGGCTTGGTGAACAGAAG